GCCTGTCCTCTGAGCTCTATCCCTGGCACAGAGGATGGGATCAACAAGATTTGCTGGTACGTTGCATACTTGTATTATTATACTTTTGTCATTAGACGGAGTGAACCACGGGCAAAAGAATTGTTTTCAACTAAAGCTTCAGTTGCTTAACTGGAGAACTGGTGACTCAGATATCTGTGGGATCTTGGCCATCAGTAACCAAGACACACAGGGCGATATCCTGAACAATGAATTCAAACCAGAATGCTCAAACAAGTGATTTAGGGTGGCCGTTTGGCCTGGAAGTTAAAAATCCCTGTGTTCCATATCTGAGCAGCTGTTTTTCAACCTGAGGTTTGACTCCTTCTAACAATGCTGCCCTTTAGGGAGCACTGTGATGTGAAGTCGTCTTGAGCTTTAGCATCTGAATATCTCCTGGAGCCAGACTAGGAGAGCACTTGGAGTGTATCCAGTGGTTTCAATACTTTCCCTGGGTGTAAGGTCTTCCTGAAATGTGTGAATTGATCCAGACTGAGGGGTTTCATCTCACCCAAGAGTCACTGCCTCTGAGAGTGATGGGGGTGCTGGCTTCCATGTCTGAGTACCGGGTTCTCCTGCTCTTGTTCCTAGTCGAGTCCAGCAGTGTGGCAAGTGGCAGCTGTCACGTTTCATTTCCTGCAATACGATGATGATGTGTTACCCTGAAACTATTGGTGCAGTGGTCCCATGCAGTGCAATTGGTAATAAACTGCAACCAACAGCGAGCCCTTTGAATGAATTTTCAGCCTTGCAAGAAGGGGAAGAAACTAACGAAATGGATGCTCCCAAATGCCATTCATTTAAAAATAGAACGAGATCTGTGACATTTCCCACAAAGGATAGATAGCTTTTCTGCAGTTGTGTTAGTTTGCGTGAGCTTCTCTTTGACAAGCTGAAGTTCCCTCCTAGTCCATGGAGGCTCGGAAGCAGCGGCCGGTCAGTGGCGGCCCGCACGGGCGGAGCAGTGGGGCGAGCCGCGGGAAGGCTAGCGGACTCTGCCTGACAGAAGCCAGGGCGGCGCGCGCGGCGCTGCCAGCTCTAGCCCTTGCCAGTGCCTTTGCCGTTGCCTTTGCTCTAGCCCGTGCCCGTGCCCCTGCCCTGCCCTGCCCCGAGCCTGCCTGGCCGCGCACTCCCCGCAGCCCCGCAGCACGCCCTAGAACGGTCTGATCGGTGCCTTTTCTCCTCCACAGCCGGCAAGCCCGCAGCGACCGCGGCGTTCGGGGCGGGAGGAGAGGCGGCGGCAGAGCGTGCGCACGCAGCAGCCTGGGGAGGTGAAAAAGGGCCGGTGGGTGCGCCAGTTGCCTGCCGGTTGGACCAGGAGCCTGTTGGTGAGGAGGACCAACGGGAGGATGTTGTGGGGGAGGAGCAGGAGCTGGAGGAGGAAGAGCAGGAGGAGGAGCCGCGGAGCAGCGGTGGCCCCCAGGGGTCCCGGCGGCAGCTGTTTGCCCAGGAGCTGGCCGAGGAGGGGGCCGCTGCGGGCCCGCAGCCCCAGGACCAGCGCTCAGGCTCCCGCCAAGGCACCAAGAGCCGCCTGCAGCTGAGGAAAATGAAGAGCGTTTTCCTGTACACTGAGTACCCACACGTGTTGGTGAGGTGAGTGGTCTCGGTGGGGTTCGGCATGGGCTCCCCCAGTCTCTATCCTCCACTGCAGAGTTGCAAGTTCTGATCTCAAGTGGAGCGTCCTTGTGGGCAGGGTCGGTGCCAGTTTGTGAGGGTTGGTGTGCTTGTCCAGGCTGGAGGGCAGGCTGGGGAAGAGTTGAGGCACAGCAGGGCGTGGAGGCTTGGGTCCAGTGGATGCAGGACACCCTGAAGCTCCAGAGGTCCTCTGCAGGCTGCAGTGAGCTACCAAGTCCTCCTTTGCAGCATGGCCGGCTGTCCAGCACTCCATCCTCTACACTGAGGAACACCAGTTCTCCTCGGTGGGTTCATGGACTTGAGTCAGGTGACCAGGTCCATGTCCGACCCTTCCCCCCTCGGGGATTTTGATTCCAACTATGACCTTGCAGGTGGGCACATAACCCGGGGACAAGGGAGTTGAGACAACCCGAACAGCAGAGCTAGCCCTAAACCTAGCCCAGCCCATCTACTCTCACCCTGACTCTCATGACTACCAGTGGGTGCTGGAGTCTAGCCCAGCCCAGCCTTCCCCTGACTCAGGCCACACTCATGCCGAAGGAGATTGAACCCATGTTCAACCCAGGACAATGCATCAGTCCTGGCACTCGCGTTCACCAATGGCAATTCCAGCCCAGACGGGGCATCCCCTTAGCTCCGCAACCAGCCCTGTTCCCAGCCACTGTACCTGCACATGCCGATGGTTAGTGCTGTTCTGCATGGCTTAACCCACATATTGCCCTGCAGATTCTACACCCAGACCTGATTCACTCACATATTTGTCAACTTCATGGGCCAGCCTCACAGAATCTGTTCTGCTTTCTGACACTCTCTGGGGGTCCATGTTGTAGCCCTTCAAGTAGAGTGGCCTTGTCCATGGAAGTTCCGGAGAAGTCATTCCTCACCTGAACCTGAACTCCCGGTAACATCATACCCCCACGATTCCAGAGCATTTTGCTGGCGACCTGTGGGCTTCACCCAGCAAAGGTGGTTGCCGGGACAATCGGCCCTGGTGCCCCCAGCAGCCACCATGCAGCAGCCACCATGCAGCAGCCACCATGCAGCAGCCACCATGCAGCTTGGAAAGGCAAGCACCGCTTCAGACTCACCTGGGCTCTCCCCACCAAGATGGCGGTGGTGGGCTGAGCCAGGGTCCTCATCTGCCCAGATCTGCCTGAGATCTGCCCACAGTGTAATGACTGTGGGAGAAGGAGTTTTTCAGGCTTTGGGAGAAGCTCGCGATTTGCCCACCACTTTGTTGCAGTGGCCAGAGCTAGGCTCCCACTCACTGAGCCCAGCTCAGTCCAGGACCCCCAGCACCTGCCACTCAGCTGGGAGAGTCAAGCACCGTGCCTACAGCTTCAGACTCACTTGGGTTCTCCCCACCAAGATCCAGTAAATACAAATGTGGTGTAGCTCTCTCAGCATTCCCTTCTGTCTGAGCCTGCTCCTTGAGTATCCCATTCTTCTTCACACATACACACAGAGTCCTGTATTTCCCGAGAAACTGTGAAGATCATCATGACTTGAGAATGTCTTCTTCCCATTACAGTCTGTGGTTTGCTTTTCTTTATCCACCCATGCCTGTTAGTTCTTCTGACAAGTGAAGAAAATAGATTGAGCAGCAGCAGAAATGTAAGGCAGCAAACACAGTTCACCTGCTGAATTTCCACACTTCTCCAAGTGACAGGTTGATAATGAAATTTCTATTCTTAATTTGTTTGACATAATTAGACCTTAGAACAAAACTCAATGCTTGCATGAGGAGAGGACTGTATGTAAACAGTCATATGGTTGCTCCTGAATGTACAGAGTCACCTTGAGCACTGCTGAAATTTAAGATTTTTAAGGGGAATATGATAGTAGCACTCTGTAACAAGTGTACTATACTCTTCTAACATTTTGAGAGCTGTTTGTTTTGTTTTGCCTTAAAATATAGTTCCTGTATATTTCAGTTTTGTGATGATTTCATTTCTAGTCACCTATTTCTAAATTTTTTGACTAGGAAACAAAGAATCCGTGAAGCAAACAGACTTTTAAAATAATTTCTGCATAATATGTATGTGTAGTTATACAGAATGTATAACTACATAAGAATTAATTACATATAAGTAAGCATATCTAAAACAAAAGAGAAATTTCTTAAAAAAGGCATGAACATCACAAAAATATAAATCGTTGAGAAAATTGTATTTAGTCCAAAACAGACAGTCTTTGCAATATAGAAAAGCCAACGAAAGTAAACACCTCCCCACATCCCCACATGCCCCCAAGACTCCCAAAGAGCAAAACCAAAAGGCCCGGCAGCAACAGACATCGGAGCACATTCAGTTGATGACTTGTCGGTGGAGAAAAATGTTACCTTTGATGAGAACACTTTTTATCACTGTAGCTGCAAAGCAACTCAACCAGAATATTAGATTAACAGACTAGAAATCCCAACCACTGCGCTCCTATTCAAATTAAGACAAATCAAGTCGAAGACCATGTTTAAAATACTTTTCTGCATGAATATTCATCAATCGTGCTTTGTTATTTCAAAGAGATCTTGCTTTTTTTTTAATTTTTATTTGTTCTTATTGGAAATGCAGATATACAGAGACTAGGAGGAGAGATAGAGAGAAAAATCTCCCGACTGATTGTTCACTCTCCATGTGGTCGTAACAGTTGGAGCTGAGTCAACCCGAAGCTAGGAGCCTGAAGCCTGGAGCTTTTTCCAGATCTCCCACGTGGGTGCAGGTTCTCAAAGCTTTGGGCCATCCTCTGCTGCTTTTCTGGGCCACAAGCAGAGAGCTGGATGGGAAGAGGGGCTGCTGGGATTACAACTGGCACTCATATGGGATCCCAGCGCATTCAAGGCGGGGACTTGAGCCGCAAGGCCATCGTGCTGGGCCTGGGATCTTGCTTTTAAAAACCACACACACACAGACACACAGGCAACACCACCACAACGAGATCTTCATAAGAACTGCTACATCTAGGAGTGACAAAATTAATTCATCACTACCCCCACGATACGTTGCTTAATATGTAGAGCACAGAAAGCTATATTACTATCCTATACAAATCAGTGTGCTTAGAAAAGTAATGCAGTTTTGGATCGATGACATTACATTTTATTTGTGGTCAACTTGGCACAAGGTTATGATTACCCACTGGGCATTTTCCCTCGAGTCAGTTAGTCTGTAAGGTTACCATTGAATTCTTGGAAATGTAGTGCCTGGTGTTTATTTTGATATTCAAGTCACAAATGATGGAGAACAGAAGCAGCATACCTTAGCAACACGGTTTGCGTTTGGCGAACAACTGCAAGATGGGAGAAGGTCCTGCTGTGAACTCTGGGATTTATTTGAAGATCCTTGATTTGATTACTCTAGCTCCATGCTTTCTGCCTCTGCAATCTCTGGCATTTCTTCATCCTGGACCTCATCCTGTTGGTATCTGGAAATTAATTGTGTTGCTAGTTTAGTATTCAGCTCTTCGTTGTGGTGAAACTTTCTTTTCATCTCAAATTGACGTTTTTTTTCTCGTTCTTCTGAGGTGAGGGCCATGACCCTTCCCTTGCTTTCCAGTACCCGAACCCGATACACTGGCTCTGATCTTCCCATGGCCGCTAACTTGTTGGCATGGTTCTCAGGAGTTAGGGCTTCAGTTAGGGCCTCGTCATCATCACTGCCCATCTCTTGGTGGTAAGGAGTGCTTGGTTCATCGATTTCCATAGAGTCATTATTTTTGTGGGCTGCAGGATAGGTCATTAGCATGTTCATTTCATCACACTTGAGATATTTTTCACCGGGGCCCATGTCTGTACTGCTGCAGGGTTGTTTGGCTGAGGCCACACTAGAGGAAGTTGAGGACTTGTTCTTCAATATCCCCTTGATATGCTTGCGTGATGCCATGGTGACAGCTGTTGGCAGTAGATCCAGTTTTTGCCTGGGTGTCACTGTTGCTGTTAAATAGTCAAGGAGAAAGGTTGGGGGCTAGCAAGCCCGACCAGGCAGCCAGAGAGCCATGTGGGTACTGAAGCAGCCACACCTACTATCCTGGTAGCAGCTAAGGGCATCATTGTGATGTCACAGTGGCCCTGACACCAGAGCCAGTGCTGCTCTGCTGGTGACCTTTGTGTGCCCTTTGCTGCCAACCTTTCACCCCTGGCTCTTGGATAGGACAGCTCAGAGGGGTTTACAAGTCTCACTGTGCTCAAAGAAAGGCATTCGCGCCCTCTAGTGGCATTTCTGGGGTTCTATGGTGTTTTCTTTTTGTTTTGGTTTTTGTTTTAAACATTATTATCATTTTGTGAAACAGTTCCACAGGCCCAGGGAGTTCCCTTGCTCCCTCCCGAAATACCACCCCCCCGCTGAGTTCCCCTATATCATTACTATAGTATACGTCTTCATAAACAGTCATATGTCCTTCATTGTAGGCATGGACAAGGGCAGAGAGTCCAGCAGCCTAGTGTCAAGATATAGGTAACAGTTTCATTGGAAGTCCATCTATGATCTGGAAGTAGAGCTGCATACTGCATTGTATCCTCACATCGGGGTGATGTGATAGTCTGCATTATATAGTAACTATACATTCCCTTAAATGGAAAGCCACAATACAATATCAACAGCAGGAAGAACAGAAGAAATTAAGAATGCCACAAAGTTAAATAACATGCTACAGAATGACTAATGTGTCACTGAAGAAATGGAAAAGAGAATTGAGACCCTGCCTGAAGAAAATGATGTTACTGTCTGATCTTTGAGTTGGTGAAGAATTGAATGAGGAAGAAAGTGTTTTGAAGAGATGAAGCTAAGTTTAAAAACAAACTGAAAAAAAAAAAACCCCAAATCCTTGAGATACCGTTTCTGCTGATCTTTGTTGGTGAAATGTGTCTTCTGTAGGCAACAGAGAGATGGGTTCTGCTTTTAAAATCCAGTCTACTCAACTATGATATTTGATTGATGAGTTTCAGCCATTCACATTCAGGGTTAACAAGAATGGGTGGTAGTTTGGACCCTACATTTGAGCAATGGGTTCCAAACTGATTTGGTCTTGTGTAGTTATTGTACTGGGGTGTTCTTCATATTTGCCTTTGGTTTGGTGGGTGCTATTCCTTTTCTCTGTCAAGAGAACATCTTTCAGGATTCTTAAGTGGGAATGCATGGAGGGGGGGTAGTGTGCGGGGAGGGTGGAGGGTGAGGCAGGAATGAGCGCCAGTGCAGAGCAGCAGCAGCCCAGCAGGGGGACCTGTGCTTCTGTAGAGGTTTGCAGCCTGAGGACTTGGGAAGGGAGCAGAATGTAGCCAAGTGTGGTTACATGAAGCAGGAACAGTGAGCATTCCTGGGTACAAGAAGCTCTGCTCAGGGGCTTCCCTTGGCAATGCAGTCCTTGGATTTATGCATGGGGCTGATGGCATCTAACCAACCATCCAGAGGCCCAAAACATCCACACCCTGGTACCAACTCTCTTCCACACTAGTACACAACTCTCCTTCATACCAGCCCCTGGCAGACTAGGACTCTGTCTGCTCTAAGCAAGCAGCAACAATAATGTAACGAAATCATCTCCCACCTAGTCATTTCACCTGCATGCTCTATTCGGCTGATTTTGGTTATTTGCCAAAAGGAACTGAATCCAAAAGTGCCACTCCTGGCTACTATTTTACCAGGGGACCTGGAGCTGACTTGAGTTTGCTGAAGCTGCTAACTGCTCTGCACCTTTTCCAGCCCCCTGCATTTCTTTTGGGAGAGTATTGTTCCTGGAGTGCCACCCAGAGCAATGTTTGTAGAATTTTGTCCACAGGCTGTTGGAACTACGCATGGAATCTCTCCCAGCCCCTATCCCTGCCCCAAAGAAGTGCTACAGCCAAAGGCATCCCATCCACATTTGACTCCACAGGATAGGGGCGACACTCACTTGCCTGACAAGAAGAAGAAACTAACAAAATGGATGCTCACAAATACTAGTCAATGAGAGAGAGAGAGAGAATCTTTAATATTTCCCACAAAGGATAGCTTTTCAGCAGGTGTGCAAGTTTTCAAGAGCTTCTGCTAGACAAGGTGAAGTCCCCTCCTAGTCCCAGGAGATGCACAAAGATGTGTTGTTCCAGAACTGCCCTCCAGTGTTGCAAAGCAAGCTGCAGGAAACAGTGAATAAAGGCAGAGACCAAGATATATGGCTTCGCCACATGCAGTAGCTTAGGGGCTAAAGTCCTTGGCTTGCTCACACCTGGATCCCATATGGGGACAGGTTCTAATCCCTGCGGCCCAGTTTTCCATCCAGCTCCTAGCTTGTGGCCTGGGAAAGCAGTAGACGGTGGCCCAAAGCCTTAGTACCCTGCACCCACGTGCTTGACCCAGAAGAGACTACATGTTCATGGAAAGATGGGTACATCTCTGTCCCTGTGGCTGCTTAAGAAATGAATCGACGCTTAGTAGATCATCCTATCTGTACATCTGACTTTTACATAAAATAAATATTTAAAGAAAGAAAAGAATGAATGGCTTCATTTTCCTTCCTTGTCTATGGTTTCGTAGGCCACGCTGAGCTCCAGAAAACTCCATGGAGCAGAGGAACAGATACTTGTGTTGTACATTTGCAGGAAGTAAGAAAAGGCTGTATAAGAAATTTATCCACAGGCTATCATGGGAACTCCATGCCACAAAGCAGTATCACAACGCAAGGATTCCCATCTTGGCTTTGGATCTGAAGTGCTTTGCAGGGCAGGACTGAGGGCCACACTCACCTGCCTCCTAGCACATAGCCAGGAGGTGACCACCAAGGTGAGCTGCAAAGCTTTCCTCCTCTTTAGCCACAGGGCCACTCCCCCTCCCTGGGAGCGCTCCTCTAGCCAACACGCAGCCAGCCAGCCTGCCGCCACGCCCCAGCCGCGTGGGCGTGCAGCACACCCAGCACAGCATCCCCCGCGCCGTCTCGCCAGCAGCCCTCTCACGGCCAGTCTGTGCCCAGTGCGACGTGCGTGCGAGCGAGCGAGCGAGCCAAGGTGCACGAAGGAGAACGCCAGCACCCACCTTCACCCACAGGCTGAGAGAATGGAGGCTCGGCGCGGGCGCCGCGACCAAGACGCCGGCCACGGCCGCCTGGGGGTGGAGGAGCCCCGGGAAGCAGCGGCCGGTCAGTGGCGGCCCGCACGGGCGGAGCAGTGGGGCGAGCCGCGGGAAGGCAAGCGGACTCTGCCTGACAGAAGCCAGGGCGGCGCGCGCGGCGCTGCCAGCTCTAGCCCTTGCCAGTGCCTTTGCCGTTGCCTTTGCTCTAGCCCGTGCCCGTGCCCCTGCCCTGCCCTGCCCCGAGCCTGCCTGGCCGCGCACTCCCCGCAGCCCCGCAGCACGCCCTAGAACGGTCTGATCGGTGCCTTTTCTCCTCCACAGCCGGCAAGCCCGCAGCGACCGCGGCGTTCGGGGCGGGAGGAGAGGCGGCGGCAGAGCGTGCGCACGCAGCAGCCTGGGGAGGTGAAAAAGGGCCGGTGGGTGCGCCAGTTGCCTGCCGGTTGGACCAGGAGCCTGTTGGTGAGGAGGACCAACGGGAGGATGTTGTGGGGGAGGAGCAGGAGCTGGAGGAGGAAGAGCAGGAGGAGGAGCCGCGGAGCAGTGGAGGCCCCCAGGGGTCCCGGCGGCAGCTGTTTGCCCAGGAGCTGGCCGAGGAGGGGGCCGCTGCGGGCCCGCAGCCCCAGGACCAGCGCTCAGGCTCCCGCCAAGGCACCAAGAGCCGCCTGCAGCTGAGGAAAATGAAGAGCGTTTTCCTGTACACTGAGTACCCACACGTGTTGGTGAGGTGAGTGGTCTCGGTGGGGTTCGGCTTGGGCTCCCCCAGTCCCTTCCCTCCACTGCAGAGTTGCAAGTTTCGACCTCTGGGCAGGGCGGGGTGGGGTGTGGCGGGGATGGTTAGTGTGTGCATGGTTGGTGTGTTTGTCCAGGCTGGAGGGCAGGCCGGGAGGGGAAGGAATTCTGTCACAGTGGGCGTGGTCGCTGACTGAGGGAGTGCCGAGTAGATCCAGAACACCCTGAAGCTCCAGGTTGGGCACCAAGCCCCAAGGGCACCAAGAGCAAGATAGTCACACAGGATAGTCAGACCCCTCAGGACATTGGCCAGGCTCCTATTTTTCTAAAGAACATCCAGTCACAATCAGGATTCCCCGCAGACTGAGGAGGCTGAGATGGCACAGCCTGTGTCCACTGCAATTTATGATGGGTTGCACAAAAAGTGCCAAACTTTGAGTCTTGATTTTGACACTACCGCGCGCGGGCTATTACAGAAAACACGTGCTTGTGTGTTGGGAAGAATGCCATTTCAAAGGAAGCTGGCAGTGTCTGGCTGGCTGTGTATTTTGTTCCATCCACAAGGGCAGATACTGAGGGGACATTTGTGGCTTTGTCCTCACAGGAAGAGTCTGGCAAGCAAGCCAAAGGTGAAGGAGGCTCAGACTGAGGCCAAGGCTGAGGCAGGTGGGCACCTCAGTGACTCTGAAGACAGCGACTTGGAGTAGAAGCCAGTGTGAAACCTGCCTGGGGTTGGGGACCTTGACAGCTGTGCCACTCCCACCCCTCCAAACATTCCCTCCTTGTTGGGTTCTGGGTAACTTCCTTGTGCTTGGGAAGTCAGTTGTGATCTTTGGGGCTTTGGCGGGGAGGGAGGGAGGGGGAACGTGGGAGTATAAATTCCATGGTATCCCTATGATGCCATTTTCTTGTCAGCAGAAGCAAGGTGTTTTTCTAGTGTTGAAAAATAAATATAAAATTTGTCACCTCTGTGCCAAATGAGTATTAATGAGGTTTGACTGCTTCTAACAATGCTGCCC